GGGGTGGGGGACTCCTGCAGTCTCCTCCCTGGCGGGCCATCCCCAAGCCTCGTAGCCGAGGGTGGGGCACTTGGAGCTGACAGGGTCCTCCCCAAGCGCAGGAGGGCCAGGGTCGGAGGAAAACCCACCAGCATTTTGTTTGTTTTTAACTTTTTTTGGTGATACTGGGAATCAATCAAACTCAGGACCTTGCATTTGCCAGGCACGCACAGTTTCACTGAGGTAAATCCCCAGCCCTGGGTTGGTAACTTTTTTATAACATGGAAATGCATAGTATATAAACTGAATTTGTTTTGTTTTTTCAAGTCTAGAATTCAATTAAGGAAAAGCCAGTGAAATAAAATGGGGTCTCAACATCTGAACTTAGAAACATTAAAACACTTTGTAATGAGCTTTCAGCACATAGTCTTTCTTTTTTGGTACTGGGCATTGAACGCAGGACCTCACACCTGGGCCTGGTAGCATACACTTGTAGTCCTGGAACTTGGGAGTCAGGCGGGAGGATTGCCACGTGTTTGAGGTGGGCCTGACCCTGTCTCAAAACCAAAGCTCTCTGGACAGAACCTGAAGTGGGACTGTATGCATGGCAGCGCTGTCAGTGTTTGTCATGTGCGTTCTGTATAGAAATGGAGGCTGCTGTAAGGGAGATGGCAGGATGAACGTCTAAGGGTCCTTTGACTCAGGCCTCTGTGTCTCTTTTCCAGTTCCCAAGTGTGTCTCAGCCCTGCAGTCTTCCTGTTGTGTGGGGTGTAGCGCAGCATGGGGTGCAGGTGTCCCCTGCCCATGGGATGGGTTGGGGGGGTAGGTGTGTGGCTCCCCTTTCTGGGTACATGCAGGACCAGTGGGCGTTGCTGAGGGCCCTGAGACCCGCCCGGTCCTGCTGGGTGGATGAGGCTTGGGCCAGAACCCTCGGGCGCAGGGAAGTGGAGGGAGCTGGGGCAGGGACCCGGCCTTGGCAGGCCAACTGCATTCAGTGTGCAGATCTCTGGCTGGCCCCTCCGTCCCTGTGCTGTTCCGGAGATGGAGGAGACGAGAACTCGTCCCTCCTGGTGGCGGTGAGGAATCCTGGGCCCAGGTCCCAGTCAGCCCTTGCTGGTCCAGAGGGCCAGCTTTCCTGTGCTCCTGCCTTGCCCCTGTCCACCTCTGTGGTCCCTCTCCTGCTCATGCACCAGGGCCTCTCCTGGTGTGTCCATCTCCCCCGTTCTGCCTGGAGATGGGAAAGGGACAGCAGACAGGGTTTACAGTCCGTGTCGTCCCCACCAGCCTGAGGAGGTGGGCAGCTCCCTGCACAGTGCTAGAGAGCGAGTGATGGCAGGCTCAGGCAGGGTGCTCCCCTCCCTGTGCACCTGTGCTCCGTGGTTCACTTTCCGCATACTGGAGAGGGACATGCCCAGAGGGGTAAGCAGCCCCCTGAATCAGCCTTGAGTGGCAGGGTGGACACATGAGTGCCAGGTCTCGCCCAAGTGAACTGAGTCGTTCGGCAGTGGTGTGGCAGGACACGCAGCCCTGTCCCAGGCTCTGCAGCTTGGGGGGACCATGGGAAGGAAAGCATGGCTCGAGCTTGCTGGGAGGGAGCTGGCTCCTGGGAGTCAGGGGTGGGCTGGGTGTCCCTCTGCTGCACACCAGGTTCCAGTGAGCCCTGCCCCTCTGCCTGGTCCTTCTAGACCCCAGCAGGAAGGACCTTGGTGAAGGGGCTCTGGGTGTGTGGAGGACAGTGCCCACGAGGGGGCGCCAGAGCGCCAGAGCACCAGATACCCAGCCACAACCTCCCTGGATGTTCCAGCTGCATCCTGCAGTGCCTTGGATTCACTGCTGGCTCTGCCAGGTCCTGAGGGTGCACCCACAGCCAGTAGTTACCATGTTCAGGGGAAGGAGCCTCCTCCACCCCAACTTCAGATGGGGGAACCAAGGCACAGCCCGGTTGTCACACAGCTGCAAGTGCAACTGAGCCAAACCCGGGGCCCTCTGGACCCATGTGTTGGAGTGAAGGCTAAGTCTGGGCTGGGGCGGCGGGGCTCATTCCGCTGAGATATGTACACGGGTGGGCCCGTGTACACAGGTTTTATGTGTATTACACTATGCAGGTTTGCAGATACCTTTTTTGGCTTGGTAGAGCAGGGGTAGAGATGCCAGGGTCCTTTCCCCATGAGGGAGGCCAGAGGCCTGGCATGGGCATGATGGAGGTCACTGAGGGCCAGGGTGCTGGTTGGCTGCCTCTCCATCATGGGCCTCGTCGGGTGGGCTGCAGTTCCCTCCTGTGTCCAGATCAGCAGGACTCGAGTAGTTTCAGGTCTCTGCCCAGCACGGAGCAGGCCCTGCAGTCTTGTCTGGCACCATTGGCTAAAACCTGCAGCCTCCTCTCTTGGACTCCAGAAAAGCCTGGGGGCAGCTGCAGCCCACGGAGTAGGTGGTCTGCTTCAAAAGCCAGGCCAATTCCCTCAGCTCCCTACCTTGGAGAACGGCCTGGAGTGAGGAGCGAACCCAGCTGTTTCATACCCTTGTCACTCAGCTCGGTTTCGCCTCTCCTGACTGGTGCAGAGTGGGGAAGTGGGGGTCATGACAGTCCCTCTGCCTTCCAGGTTTTGGGCAGTGGTCAGGGGAGGGGACAGGTGTCACTCTGGCACTCTGCTCACCTCCTGCTTCCTGCCTGCTGATGGGTTGGCCTCTCTCCCCCGTGGTGCCTCCCTGGGTGAAGCCCCAGTGGCACCCGCCCTGTCCGTGTCACCGTGCGGCACAGTCCACAGAGGAGTGCTGGCGTGGGGTGTGTTCTCTGTTCATTCAGCTGACTGTGCCAAGCGCCAGCAAGGTTCCTGGGCACCGGGATCTGGGAGATCAGACCATCCTTTCTTTGCGGGTGAAAGGCCCAGAAAAGGTCCCTGCTTGGCGAGACGGACTCCATGCGAGGGCGTGGGTGCAGTGGGTTGCCCGGCGGCCTGGGTGTGGGCTCCAGGTAGAGCGAGGGCTGGCAGCTTGGTTACGTAAGCCCACGCAGAGCCAGGGTGCTGCTTTGACAGCTCTGCTCGGCCCCCACACGGAAAGTGCTCCTCTGTAGCAGGGCTGGCGGAAAGGGGCACAGCCACGTGGCAGCGCCGCCTGGTCCCAGTGCCAGACCTGCTGTCTGTTTAGTCTGGGCCTGGCCTGGCCTGGCCTCCTCTGGCTGCAGGGATAGAGGAAAGGCTGGATTCCATGAGGATAGGGGGCAGGTCAGAGAGCGGTCAGGCCAGCTGGGCCTCTGGCTGGTCTCTCGTCACCCTCACGTTCCTCCTGCAGGAGGCAGGGCCCCGCGAAGGCCTGATATGTAGGTCCCAGGGGCATCACCTCAGCATGAGAAGACCCTGACAGTGTCAGATCACACACGGAGACAAGGCCAGGGACGACATGCGACTTGCTCGTGAACACAGCCTGTTCAGGGCTTCCCAGGCCAAACTCAGAACCCTGTCTCCTTGTGTGATACCGTGCTTCACTTAGGCCCCGCTTATTGGGGCGTCCTAAGGACGCTGTTGCTGTGGCTGTGGGTGTAACTGCCTCCTGTCCCACCTCCTCCCTCCCCACTCCTAGGGAGTAGAGCCATGGGGGCAGGAAGTGACCAAGGGAGGTATCTCAGCCACTTGTTGCCTGGACAAGTACCCAGGACCCACAGCTTGAAGGGGAAGTTAATTTGGTTCCCATGTTAGTTCATGGTTGGCCACCTCTGAGGCAGGACGTATGGTGGAAGGGTCTCGTGGGGGAGAGCAGCTCAGTATGGTCACCTGGAGGCAGAGAGAAGGGAGAAACGGGAGAGAAATTCTCCCAGGTGACACCCAAGTGACTGCCTCTCCCTCCAGACCCCACTTGCTGCAGGCCAGCCATAACCCTGTAACCAGTCACCCTCCAGAAGCCCCGCCTGCAAGCTCGTGAGGCCCGTGGGTGACACGGAGTCTAAGCCACAATGGGAAGCTTCAGCTTTTCCACCTGCAGGATGAGGACACGGCCTCCTGGCCTCTCCTCCTCTCGGAGGCAGAGCGCAGGGCAGCCCAGGGAAAGCCTTCAAGCCCCAGTGCTGCCGTGCCCCGGCAGCCATGGCCTTGTGCCCTACCCACCCTTGAGCCTGTCCTGCACGTGGTGTTCTTCCATTCCCTCGCTTTTTCTCCCTCTCCCACTCCCTCCCTCCCTCTGGATCTCCATCTCCCTGGCTCCTCGCCCGGTCTCATGGAGGTGCTGTGCCCCTGACTGGAACTTTGTGGGAGACCCTGAGCCAGGGACTCAAGCTAAATTGGGCCAGAACCCAACCTGCAGGACCCAGGACAAAATGGCTATTTGTTGTTTGAAGCTAAGTTTTGGGGACATTTGTCGTCTAGCCGCAGGTATCATCACATGACACCCTTGCCTGTCACCCCTGAGCCCAGCCCCTCCGCTCCGAGGACAGCTCGAGTCCAGGCCTCATCTCTGCCAGCTGAGGGTCTGGCCTTGAATTCCCTTCATCCTCTCAGCTCATTTCTCCTTGGTTGGGGTTCATGGGAAGC